TCTAGATTTTTTTGAAGTTGAATTCTTCCAGGGAGGAAGGTTTTCTCCCAATGATGGCGAATAAGTCCTCTTACTTCTTTGGATAATTTACTTCCTTTCTTTTTTGTTTTTACGTAAAACATAGTTTATAGCACTCTTTGTCTTTTCAACTTAGAGCATAACTTTTTCTGACTCAAAATACTAATCAGCAATGTCGACGTCTTTCTTTATCACGTCTTATAACTTTGCAAGCAGTTTAATTTATTTTAATGTGGAATTAGCATTATTTGGATTAATTCGATTAATTAATCTGAATAATGATTTAATGTATCAAGAGAGTCTCGTTATCATCGCTCTTATGGCTGTTTTTCGAAGTCTCCGTCGTTGTATGAAATGATGCCTATTTACGAATAATATGCTATTTTTATAACTGCAGTGAATTTTCAACTATTACTCATGAATGTTAGGTCAAGTTTAGCTTATCTAAAGCCAGCGCTGTTAACGCCTATTTCTAAAATGTTGCAAAACGTCAATGTGGAGAAAAGCCACAGTTTTGCGAAAAAGAATAACGTTTGTGTTTTAATCTTTTAATATTAAAAACTTACACCAGCGCTGAATTACCTGGGCTCCTAAAATTTTTCATAAACTGAGGATAAGGCAGTGATTTTGATAATTTTCATCTAGATGGAAAAATGTCACCAAATTGGTGATTTTTAAAAACATTTAATAACTTTTAAAATATTTTAAATATTTGTGTTTTCTAAAGTGCAGATAATTCTGCACGGCAAGATTATGTATGTATTTTAAAATTTTCGCATTGCTTTAAATGTAAGGCAATTAAATTTTGTCTTTTTTTATTTTCATTTGTGATAGAGATTTGAAAAACAGCGTTAACAAATTTGTATTAAATTCTATATTTGATGTACAGTTATTATGAAACACCCTGTATTTTAAATCTTATCGAACCAACCATTGACTGGTGATAGACCAATAAATTAATGATATCTGTCCCCGGGCATGGCCTGAAGAAGGTGCAAAATTTATGAAAAATAATTTAAAATAAATTTCGAAATAAACTATTTTTCTTTTTTTTTTTTTAAATATTACTACTTTACGTTGTCGAAAAAATATTCTATTTAACCCCTTGACGCGTCTGGGACACCGGTGATCTTTTGCTATATTTTTTTCTGCCGCTTTAATTATATGCAAAAATGTATTTTCGTACTTTTTAACTGTAAAAAACATCCAATTAGTTACTAGAAATTTGTTAGATTAGCGGAATTTCACTTGTACTAAAATATAAAATCAAAAAAAGTAGTTTAATTAATTTATATTCAAAGATTTATCAATAATTAATTTTGTAAATTAAAGAAATTTCAACGACGAATAACTGTTTCTATTTTATCTAAATAACTGCAAATAAATGCTAATTTGAATAATTGTTTGGAAGTAAGCTGTGTTTGGAAGATTTTGCCTTTAACAAAAACAAAAAAAAAATACTTGGTGTTTCATGTTGTATATCAAAACCATAAATTATTAATATGCTAAATATAATATTTTTCACTTATTTAGACTAAAATTAATACAAAAAAATGAGAAAGAGTATGAAAAATATGTTTCATTTAAAATTCTGCGACAATGGGTTAAAGTTGAAAAATCTTATTCTATGTAAAATTTAAAAATTCAATGCCTAGTGCGGCGGGTCTTACTTAATCATTTTAAAGTGGTCCCGATAAGGCCCCTATAAGTCTCACCATTAAACGCAAGGCAGCGCAAAAACTGAATTTGTCCCCAAGAGCTGTAAACCATAGCTATGTATCTGTGATGTAATAGTAAACATTAGAACTATGTATGTTATAATAGTCCTACATAAGTCGTAGTAAGAATTTAGCGCTCGACATCGAAATTCCAAAAAAAAAAAGAAGAAGAAAGAAATCCAGGAAAAAAAATAATCGTTTCGTTTTTGTTTCACATAAAGCTAAGCAAATATTATGATTTTTTTTATGATGGCGCAGCACTTGAAAAATTCCAAGCACCTGCTGGAACTGACAACATGAAAGTGCGTTGTTCTAATTGTTTCACGCGTGATATTTGACAGAAGGATATGATTATGTCATTCTTATAACAAAGACAAAAATGAAATTGGATTCATCTCTCATGATTCACTAGAAATACTAAAAAATTACTGAATACTAATAATATTAACAACCCTTAAATCTTTATAGTCACAGTGATGCCAATTAGAATAATTATATTTTGGAACATACTTGTCACCTCTAGAAACTCCTGCTGAGTCAAAAATTGTCCAAATAAACATGTTTTAATAGGTTTTGTTTTTAATTACTTTTTAAAAATTTTTTGGATTCTTTATTTAATTATAAACAATAATTTCAATAGGCACAACAGCATTGAGCGATTTTTTCATTTTATGACGTAATAAAGTTAACTGTTAATAAAATCTTATGGTTAAGATGTTAATTTTTACTTCAAGCCTGTTTAACATTAAGAAACACCGCTTTTAAATTCTGTATAGAGACTGAAATTTTCTTCCAAGAACAAGTAGAACTCGATGTTTTACAGAACCGGTCGGATCACGCTTTTGGGGCTGAAAATTGAGGTAATTGTTTACATTGTGAGCGAAACAATCAATTTTCAAAATATTTTAAAGTATTCAGATTAATTTCATGTTTAATAATAATAATATGCAGATAAGGGTGCATTTTCGTTTAAAAAAGTGGAGATCGAGTGGCGACTTGAAGAAAATACTTCAATCGCCATTTGTTACAGTTAGTCGCTGTCAGTTTTCTATCAAATTATATGAAGTCATTACACTCCATTAAGAAAAAAAGTAAGTTTGTTTAATCAAAAAAGGCAGAAAAACAATTGCCGATCCCTAAGATGTGCATCTATATAATTTATTCAAAATTTATATTTGGAGATATTAACGTCACTTATGTCCTTGATATTTTTTTGAAAATATAACGCTCATACTTCTCCCATTTTAAAATAAATTTTTTTTAGAGTATTCAAATAAAATAATTTTGCAAAGATAGTTTTAGAAATTCATAATTCTGGATTAGAGCAAACCTTTAAATGCAATTTTTAATCCATACTATTAGAAATTTCTCTGAAAAAATGGTAAAATAACAATGTATTTAATTGTTATTTTATACCACATTGTATAATTACCACATTCAAGTAAAACAGTCTAATAACCATAAATAAAATGGTATTCAAACTGTTAACAGTGAGAAAAACCGCATATTAACCGTTTTCCCCTAATACAGTTAAACAATCAGGATTTTATCGCCCCAGCTAGGCCTACCTTAGTTCCATACAGATGTGTACATATTATTACCGAGAGGGCTAATCTGTCAATCTCATGACCGGAAGAACGGGGGTTCGAGTCTCGCGTTGACAAAATAATATTCCCTCCATTCCTTTCGAAACATATAGAATTTCCAGTGTCCTGTACCCCCCAGTTTGAGATCCTGGACTATTAGAACTCGATACTCTCTTTCCCGCATAGATAGAAGCACGATAAATCTCATTAGCTCTAATCTATCTCCAACGGCCAGTTAAATATTTTTTTTTACGATTTTGAAACCATGTTAGTTGTATATGGTTGAAAAACCACATAGTTTTGTAATCATGGTTTTTTATCCATACTAGTTGTAAACAGTTTTAAAACTATAAAGGTCAAAAATGTTCTTTACTGTAAACTTAACGGTTAATTTGGATAGAGAGAATACTGCCGGTTATTTTACTATAGTTAAATAATGAAAATTCTAACAGGGAAACTGGCTCGACTTAGTTTCTTTTTTTTGATATTTTGCTTGGTAAATATTTTTTTATTTATAATTTGTTTTGTGATTTGTTTTGTAATTTGAATTATAATTTGCTTCATAATTTGTTTCTTATTTAATTTGGATTTGATATTATTTGATTAGGAAAATTTTATATTTAAAAAATAGTCTTAAGAAAATAATTACCGTCTTGAGTTTATTAGTTTTGGAAATTTGGTTTAAAAAAATAATTATGTAAATATATTCACGCATTGAATCTAAGAGAAAACTCAACAGTAATGTCGTATTCTGTTGTCGTATTCTCAATGTCGTATTCGTGAAAAATTCCTCATGATGTTTACTCACAGTGCGCTGTAATTAAAAATAGAATGAAAGAAAATAAGCTAATGAATTATTTAAATTTATGATATGATGAATTTAGAAAGTTGAGGAGCTACATTGGATAAAAATAATGAACTTTAATGATTCAAGAATTTCCACTTTTATCTTTTTAATTTGTTTTACTTCCTATCCATTTAAATTATTTTCAATTAAAATCACATTACTTTTTTGATTAATTTAATTATTCCAAAGAAAATGCGATGAGATTTTAGTCCTTTTAAATCATTTATTTAGTATACTTTTCGGACTATTTAAAAATAATCTTTTAAAAATGATGCTTCTTTTGATTTTTATTTAGGAATTTGAATGATACTCTTATGAGCAAAGTTAACAGGAATAAAATTTAAACAAATTATAAAGTCTATAATACTAATATAAAGCAGAAAAAATAATCTTTTAAAAACAATCGTTTGCAGTAAATTAAAAAATAATAATTTGAAGTAAATTTAAAATAATAGTTTGCGGGAAATTAAAACTAATCGATCGGGATAATTGCAGATACGGTTACCAATAATTACTCTTTTAAACTATTCTAATATGCTACATGACTTGAAATTAAATTTTAATGTTTTGAAATTTTAAAATACTCTTTCAGAATTCGTCATTCCAAAAAATTAACAACTTTATTAATACTTCCATGGAATTAAAAATTAACTTCACACAAAATATCGTTTGCATATCCATATTATATAATACTTTAAAAAAAGATGCTTTTTAATGTAAAAAAAGCGTGTATGTAATGATGGATAATTTCAGCATTTAATGTATCTAAAATACTAAACCGTCGTCAGATGGTAGCACTTTATGCCATGATAAAATTTGGTCTTTATCAAAAATTTTTTCTATTTTTTTTATCTCTATTTATTGAATATTAACATATAAGGAAAAATGGCTGCTACAATCGTAAGCCTTGATGTAAAAGATATTCGATTTCCAACTTCTTTACAAGGAGATGGTTCGGATGCTATGGTATGTTTGAAATAAATAAAAATTAATTTTTATTATAATATATCTTTAAAGTATAATAAAATTTACTGTAACAACTTCAAGAAATAAGAAGTAATAATTTTTGTCATAAAAGAAGGATAGGGTATAATTTGTGCTATGTAGACAAATGTGAACGTTCTTGCATGAATGGTGAAGAAATAACTTGAAAGTCTTTAGCTTTAGTCCAATATTTTTTAATTCAATGTCATTTAGAAGATTGATTTTAAATTCTGTGTGTAATTTTTGTCTGAATAAGTAGATATAGTGTTTTGTCTCTTAATAAGTGGACATAAATACTTAATTCTCAAAAATTTATGTCTACCAATTTAGTGTGATGTGTTTTAAAGCGATTTATTAGGATTTCTTCACATTTGTAGATAACGATTTGTTTCGTAATAAGTGTGAGTGACAAGTATTAAGGTCACAACTGTGTAAATTCTACACTGTCAAAGAATCGCTAACGAAATGCCCAAATAATGCTTTTTATAGTAATGCATTTATTTCAGTAGAAGAAATTTCTGAAGGAATGAAATTGCATGATTTATAATTAATTTATGTTTTTGTTAACTGTAATAAATTACCGTCTGTCTAAATTGGGATAACGGATGACAATTTTCTCTATAAAATGTAAAAAAAAAAGTTATTTTTATTTTTTATTTTTTTTTAAAAAAGCATAAATTGTAGTGAAATGATTTAAAATTTTCTATTTAAGAAATTTCCACGATAGCGAAAATAACAGTATTAAAATAGTTTCTAAATAAAACACTAAATGAAGTTGTAATAAACAAATGAAAAAAGCAAACAAAAAGAAAAAACAAAAAACAAAAAACTGAATTGTGAATTGAACTCTAAGTTAAACTTAGGAAAATACTAAATCAACATATGTCCGAAATTTTTCTTTGACCACAATTAAAAGTTATAAAATAATATTAAAATGAAATAAATAAAAAAAAATGAAATTAAAAGAAATGAAACTAAAAAAAAGTGAAATTAAAATGAATGTATAACAGAACTTCACCAGGGATCACCCTGCATGTATTCATGCTGGGTGCCTCCTTGTGATTACGTATTGATTCCCACCAACGCTCAGAATATTCTAATGCAAATTTAAACTTAACATCTGACCTTAAATCTGAACTTAGCATCTGACCTTAAATCTGAACTTAGCATCTGAACTTAAATCTGAACTTAGCATCTGAATTAACTAGAAATCTGAATTTTTTCCAAAGCCTACGAGCCTATGTTCATAAGATAATAAATAAAAGGCACGTAGCTGAATTCTGCCAGCCATTCACCTTATGTAGTAGAGCACAATCTCCTGCTATTAGCCAAATATATGGAATTATTCATAACTATATAGTGATTTTTGATTAATCCTAGCTTAAAATTGGGGTTAGTTAATCTTATTCAGAGATCGATTAACAAAACAGTATTACATGCGTACTCTGTATCCGCATAAATTCTTTGCACTTATGCGGATGCAGAAGGTTTTCCTCTAGTAGATTATTACAGCATTTGCAGAATATTTTCTTTTTTTAATTTCTTTTTTTTTAAACTTTTAAAAAGCAAATAAGCAAACGAAGAAAAATTGCTAAGACACCTTTTTTTTGAAAAAAAAAAAAAAANAAAAAGATATTTTTAAATTTTTTTTTTAATTTTTTTTTTTTTAAAAAGCATTAATTGTAGTGAAATTATTTAAAATTTTCTACTTAAAAAATATCTACGATAGCAAAAATAATAGTATTAAAGTAATTTCCAAATAAAACACTAAATGAAGTTGTTATAAGCAAATGGAAGAAAAAAATAGCAACAAAGAAAAAACTAAATTGTGAATTGAAATCTAAGTTTAACTTAGGAAAGGGCTAAATCAACATATGCCCGACATTTTTAGCTGACCACAATTAAAAGTTATAAAATAATACTAAAAGGAAATTTTAAAATGAAAAAAAAAAATGAAATTAAAATAAAAAATGAAATCAAAATGAATGTATAACAGAACTTCACCAGAAAGCACCCTGCATGTATTCATGTTGGGTGCCTCCTAGTGATAAAGTGTTGATTCCCACCAACGCTCAGAATATTATAATGCAAATTTGAACTTAACACCTGAATTTAAATCTGAACTTAGCATCTGAACTTAAATCTGAACTTAACATCTGAACAAACTTAAAATCTGAATTTTTTACAAAGTTAGAGCCTATGTTCATAAGATAAGAAATAAAAGACACGTAGCTAAATTCTGCCAGCCATTTACCCTATGTAGTAGCGCACAGTCTCGTGCTATTAGCTAAATATATGGAATTGTTCATAACTATTACAGTGATTTTTGATTAATCCTAGCTTAAAATTGACGTTAATTAATTTTATTCAGAGATCGATTAATAAAACAGTATTACACGCGTATTCTGTATCCGCATAAGTTCTTTGCACTTATGCAGATGCAGAAGGTTTTCCTCTAGTAGATTATTACAGCATCTGCAGAATATTTTCTTTTTTTAATTTCTTTTTTCTTTTAAACTTTTAAAAAGCAAATAAGCAAACAAAGAAAAATTGCTGAGACCCTTTTTTTTTTAAAAAAAAAGAAAGAAAAACATCTCTAAACTTGTTTCGAATAAAAATTAAAAGTATGAATTGAAAAAACACCACAAAGAACAAAAATTTTTTTTCTTACTTTATACACAACTAGAATGAGAGAGAACATCTTAACTGTTTCGTCTGCGAACTCTGTGATGAGGAAGAGAAAAACCTCTTTGTACAATTCAGAACTGGTTTTTGCTTATAATCAGAGGAAAGACGAGGTCTGGACAAATTCTATATTCTTTCTCTCTATATTCTTTCCTCTATATTCTTTGGTCTGGATGAGGAAAATATTTGCATTTTGGCATCAAGCTCGGTTAACTGTTAGCTACGTTACCGCATAAAATAAAAAGTTGACTAGTAGTTCATTACAGGCTTATCTGTATTGGTATTTATTCGATTTTTTAGTATCATAGAATAAAATTCAACTTAATTTAAAAAAAAGATATAAGTTCTTATATTTTTAAGAACCTTATATTTGCGTTATAGGTTAGATTAAGCTGACATTTTACAACAATAATTTCTGTTAGACTGCTTTGAGGCTGCACAGAAATTAAATTGCTGCAGATTGCTTCCGAGAATTCTGCTTAATTTCTTGTTTTGTCCATTATACGACAAGCAGAGAAAAATATGCCTTTCTCGCTGATTAAATATAAACGTTTTGCTGGAATTTTCATATAACTTAATTCAGATGCCCACAAATTTTTTTCCACCATTAACTGTTAATGACATTCTTTTGCAGCTTTCCCTGTGTGTAGAATTCATTATTTATTTTTTAATTTAATTTAATTCGAGCATTAACATTTATTTTCTATTAGCATTAAAATCTAATAATTATAATACTTTTTACTGTAAATTATAATAATACTTTATTTTAAGCACGTAGATCCTGACTATTCTTGTGCTTATGTTATATTATTAACATCAGATGGAAATAAAGGTTATGGACTTACTTTTACTTGTGGAAGAGGAACGGATGTTGGTTAGTAATTTATTACATTTTGTACACAATAAAATGAATTGTAATTAGTTGTAGTTTTTAAGAAACTTAATCGTAATCGAAGAGTTGTTTTGCGGAAAAAGAACGAAGACATGTAAAAAGTTCTATAAATGATTAAAATTATACAGAAAAAAAAAAGCATTTGAACTTTTTTACTATAGCATGAGATTGGAGAGAAGGAAATACATAATGGATTTCTAATGGGTAAAATTGAAAAGAAATTTGCAGCGAAACTGAATTTTGTCAAAGCCGACAGTACTGTGTATTGGTCAGGGAGCTGACCTCTCATCTGAAATCTCATCCTCGGTTCGAATCCCGGGGAAGGCATGGATGTTCTTTCATTCCCTGTACTATCTGCCCTTACTGTGGGTGGTTGGCATACTTAATATGGTGTACCTGAAAGAGTGGCTAACAAATCTGCCCTACTGATATCTGAATGACGTGTGTCAATCGGGTGAGTATTAGAAGAAAAAAAAAATCCAAAAGGGGGATAGATCTCTTGCTTCTGACCTGAGCTCAAATTTTATACATGGCCGACTTCAGACCAGCTCACACTGCTGATATAAAATATTTATAGTAGTCTGATAATGTGCAGGATTGGTAAGAGTCCTACTGCTATCCTCGTGCTATTGACGATCGCAACGCTCGAATACGCTATCTGTGGGGAGAAGACTTGTTCCATGTCTGACCCTTCCTTCTTCTCTGTTGTATAGGAATGTATTACGATATTTCCCCCTTTCTTAATATTTTTCTTATTTAAATGTAAAGAAACATTTTTTAAAATATCCACGAAGTTTGATTTTAGAACTATGTTTAATGTAGCTATAACTATTCAATGTCGGTTAAATTAAAAAATGAAAATGAATAGAAAAAATGAAATTAAAAAAAATGTCTTTCCGCATTTGATGTGTGGATTAACTGCTCAATATCAGTGAAAAAATGAAATTTAAAAGAATATAATGTCATAAAAATGTTTTTGCAAGAGGGAACACTTTTAGATTCTTTTTTAAAAGAGGGTGAAATGCTGAATCGATTAAAAGACAAAGCGCATCTGTTATATGGATTAACTGTACAATGTTGGTGGCAAAATGAAATAATAATAATAAAAATAAACTGACTTTATTAATACGATGTCTATAATATATGCAATTTGATACTTTTTAACATAACATGATTAAAAAAAACTATCAATTCCTCACTTAACAGCTGTAAAGTTAAACAAAAAAGAAGTTAATTTTAATGCAAAATAAGAATAATTTTAATTATTTCATGAATTTTGAAATTTTTTTGGATTAAAATTATTGATATTTATTCCATATTTTTTTCTATGATTTTTATTTTTTAGAACTTTTTTTCTATTTTTTCTCGAAACCTTTTAATGTCAATGTGAGAGGATTATTGTAATTCCGTTCATAAGCTTTGCGTTAACAAAGTTTCAAAAGCTTCCAATTACTACTTCTGAATCACCTTGCATATTAGAATTCTGAAAAAAAAAAAAAAAAAAAATTTATTTTATTTTATTTTTGTTAACTCTTCATATTAATTACTTAAATATGTTTTCAAATTTTCAGTTGTAGCAGCAATAAAAGCTTTATCTCCAATAGTCATTGGAAGAAATATACTGAGTATCTTTGATAATTTTGCTGGATTTTGGCGAGAATTAACTAGTGACTCTCAATTGAGATGGGTATGTTTAAAAATAATTTTGTATACTAAACAAAAATGTTTTTCTTATACTACAAGCCTAAAAGTTTTTCAGTGATGATTATAATTTTTTCCCAAATAATAAAGCTAAGAAAAATTATTTTTCTGCGCAAGATTATAAAATGTGTTTAATCTAAGAGGATTTCATGAAAATAATAATTACTTATAAATTTATAAATATTTATTATTATTTTTTTATATTATTTATATTACATATTATTTATTTTAATAATGAGCTAAAAAATGTGGATTTTATAATATACGAATTTTTGGAAATCCTAGTTTAATTTTTAAAAGCCAAAATCTGGAGGAAATCTGTTATTTAGTTCATGAAAATTAAAAATTTAAAAATGTGACTTCTTTGAGATGCCTAAACTAAACTGTTTTGCAGATTGCGACAATTTCCCATGTCCGCTTTTGAGAGTTAAGAAACCAAATTGAATAAAAGATATGCTTATTCAGAGAAAATGCGTTTAAATGTCTGATTTTATAATTTAAAATGCACAAGTTAATTAGCATATTTAGGGTTAGGCTGCGAAACCGTAAAAAGTGAATTCTAGTATACTTAAAAATCCGATCATTAGATCAAAAGTTAATCAAAGTGTTTATTTTTTTCTTTGTGATCTGTTTATAAGGTGTTTCAAATAAATATTTAAGTTCTAAGTTGTTTGATTTATGCGGAACACACACTTCTGTTTGAGGAAATGAGAAACAGCCGCAGCCTCTGTTTACAAATTTATGTAAGCATATTATAAAAAATGAAAGACTTATTGGCCACATTCGAACCAGCCGTTTTCTGTCTCTTCTCTTCCTAAGGATCTGAGGTGGCAATCTTAATTTGAATATCGATTATTCAATGATTATTAATTGCTCAAATGTTCATTTAATAAAAAATTCATTTATGTATAATTTAATAATTAAGTATATGATTAATTACTTGCTATTTGTCAGTTTAGTAATAGATTTCTCTATACATAATTAATCAGTTTTTAATAACTAAGAGCTTACTAATTAATTATATCTGTTAGTACTTAGAGTTGTTTTTGGGATTAAACAATAACCGTTGTGGTCTATCTCTCTTTACTTATTACCTAACAAACATGATCATTTGACTGAATGTATGAAAATACTAGTTTTAGTGCATATAAATAAGTCTTAAACAGTATTAAAAAAACTGCCTATTAAATCAAAAATGCTTTACTTTTTAAAAAAAAAATATTTAGGGAGTTATTTTAATTTGAGTGAAAAGAAAAAAAAAAGGTGATAAATTAATTTATAAACTATCCGTTTTTCAGTTCAAGTTCATAAACTTTTCGACCATTATTTTCGTAGATGTTTATTTCATTTTCATTTGTTAGATGGCGACACCATATATCAAGCGATCGTTTGCGTTTTCTTAAAAAATGTCAGTTCAGAAGAGGTAAAATCAGAAAGGAATGAAGTATGAATGGTATTATGAATTCTTTTAAAATAATGATCTTGGAAAAAAATATTCCGAAGGGCGCTCATGTTGGTGTCTGAAAAATGATTATAACTTCAAATATAATTTTCTTATTTATTATAATCGGAGGAATTTTTTATTATACTGCGTAAAACAATAAGGAAAAATAAATTCGAAATAATTTTATTCTATAATGGCATATAGCGATATTATATTATTATATATTATATTATTTCAACAGTTCAAATTGAAAACGGTTCTTATCTGTTTTGAGCCTTTATATTTTTAAAAATTTTGATATTAATGTTAGAATTTATATTTGGCGATATTTAATCTCCCTCTTCTTATTTTTTTATTTATTTTTCTTTATTAATTTTTTTTGTTAATTTCAACATCAAGTCAATCGCAAGCCTATAAAATGAAGATCAATTTCTTTTCCGCAATGGATAAATAAAGTAAGTAAAAAAAAGTAAAGTAAGTTAAAAGTAAAAATGCTGACATAAAATTCCGGTATAAAGCATTTAAAATTACTTCGAGCAAATTGGAATTTAGAAAAACATTTGCGTTAAGTTCATAAATAAGAAAGATCCTTTCAGCACGTTAAATTTAAACATGGTAAGTTGTATTTCAGCGGACTGTAGATTGGCCAATTATGGTATTTTTTTAAATTAAAAACGTCCAATTGTTTATAATTCTCGATTTAGTAATCCATCTTAAATTTTTTTTATTTCATCGTTCTCTTTGCTCATTTTTCAATACACTTTCGTAATTCGAGATCTAATGATCAGATTTTCATCCTACCAATTCGCTCGATTTCGTAACTNTAAAAAAAAAAAAAAAAAAAAAAAAAAAAAAAAAAAAAAAAAAAAAAAAAAAGCATGACAAAATTTGCCAGAAAAGCGCTTAAAGTTGCAATACTTTTCATAAAAAAAGTTTATAAACAAATATGGCCCTTTCAGCACGTCAAATTTCTATTCTGTAGTTGCATTTCTGTTGTCTATAGATTAGCCTGCATGATATTTTTTTGCTGCAAGTTCAACAGTTAAGTAATCCTCGAATTAATTATCGAGTGTTGAATTGTTTTATTTCCTCGTACTTCCTGTACATCTTCTACGCATCATACTCATTTCAAGTTTTTAAGTCTTATGGTTTTTCTCAGAGAAGCAAAATGTTACATAAATTTAAACATCCAAAACAGTGGTGGCGCTAACTAATTTTGAATATAGAGAGATACAGAGAGAAATGAGTGAAAGAAAATATGATCATTAAGTCAATAGTTATTTAGGGTGTGTCATTTTGTCCAATCACTGCAGAACAGTTTGACTTTTTGTAACATCCACTTTTTTTATTTTTTAAATTTCTTTCTTGTTTTCTTTTTGTAACTTGACTATGGCTTTGAGATTTGATTTTTTAATATGAGATTTTATTTCTATGAGTTTTTATTTTTCAAATAGAGAAATATACATGTAGTAATTCTAACTGCAGAATAATAACATGTTTCTCAAAAAATGATAACTGAAAAGTAAAAATTGCAGAAAAATAAGGTGAGAAATTTTAAAAGACGCATGATGAAATGAAATTAATTAAATAATTTTTGAAGAAAAAAAATTATTTTGAAGAATAACTGAAAATAACATTAAGCAGCCTATCTTTCGACCGGTTTCCTGATTTAACTTTTGCCCCGTGGTTGGATTTGAAGTCCGCATCTCTTCACATTTACGGGATAAGAAGTCAAAATCCATTTTAAAAAAAACGTTTAATAATTTTTTGGAGCAGCAATAAATTAGTGAAGAAATAAATGGACCAAAAGAATTTTTGAAAATTTGGTTGAAATCTAAAAAATAAAAGTAACATTATGCGACCCTTACTTTTGCCTTGCCACTAGATTTAAGTATTGCCCTGAGCAATTTCTTATCTCCTCATATTTTTAGGTTAAGAAATTCAAATCCATCGTATGTGATGCTTGCTAGCTTACAGTTTTGTTTAGTTAAAAACTAGATTCTCGGATAATTTTTTACACGTTCTTCATAAGTTAAACTTAACTTCATGTCAATCTCTCTTTAGTTCTCAAATGAAGATGTGACATTCTTATCTGTACAGTTGCTAGTTACATTTAAATGTTCTTCGAAGTTCTTTTTATATCCTCACAATTTGGAATGAAGAAATCCAAATTCATCTAAAAAAAAAAAGGTTCTATAATTTAAAGGTACAATAATGAGTTTGTGAAAAATAAATGGATGGAAACAATCTTTGTTTTGATCAATAAGTTTAAGAAATGTGTCTAAATAATTATAAAGTAAAAATAACATTAAGTGAACCAATCTTTCGACTTAAGTGGAACTCATTTTTCGATATTTGAAGGTTAAGAATTTCAAATCCATCATATGCTGATGAATTTCCACATATGATGAATTTGAATTTCTTAACCCCATCATTCATTCATCATTAATCTATTTATCACTGATTTCATTCAAGATTTTAAAAATGCATATTAAAAGTGGTAATTATAGAATACCCTGCATAAAAAAGATAAATGAAGAACAATTTTGATTTGGCCAATACTTATTGTGATTAATTGTGTTACCATATTTGAGTTTTTATGCTTAAACTTGATTGTCAATTTAGTTTATTAAAACTTGAATAATATTTAAAATATATGAATTTTTAAAATGCATAATATATTAAAAGCTACTGCAGCTATTAAAGCTATTATAACTATTAAAGTTATTATAGCTATTAAAATTTTGTTTGAACATTCTTATTAAATTTATTTCGATACTATTTTTCATAAATTCAAAATATTATTAAGTAGATATTTTTTAACCAAAATGTAAATTTTATATTAAAAAATTAAAGTAATTTACTGCGAGAAACAACAAAAATGTACATGGAATAATTTATGTAATTTACTTAAACTTCTTATCTTTTCCTTATCAAATCTTTTCTTTTGAACCAATTGAGGGCAGAAAAAGTAATTACACTTTAAAAGTAATTTTATACAAAAAGGATAAATTTATAAAATCTTTATGAGATACTTTGAGATTAAAGCGATATAAATATCCTCAATTTTATTCACCAAAAATTGAAATTTTCTTTACTTTATTTTTGAAAATATTTCTTTGCTGAATTTTAAGCTTTTTTTCTCTAAAAAGAAATTTTCTCAATAGAATTTTTTAAGGCTTGACTTAATCCACTTATTGCATTGAATATGCAGAAACTTTAAGTAAGTTTCTCAATTTAAAAGTAGTAAATATGTGTTTTCAGTTTTTAGATTCTAGTAAAAGAAACATTTGAATTTTAATACTAAATTCGTTCTTATGTTGGTAGAAATAAAAAAAGAAGTAATTGCTTTTAGCATTCTATGCCATCTGGTTTTGATGTAAAATATTATTTAGGATTAAAAAGATAATTTGTTTTACGCAAATGTAAATAGACTTAAAAAGTATTTCAAATTAGATTGTTTTTTTTTGTATTGAAACGTTTCTGTGAAATTTTTATTTATTTATAAAAAGCAATTTCTATTTGCTTTACTTTGTTTTAAAATGGAATGCAGCTGTTCTTTTAACACCTCAAATTCTATTTCAGGATATGATATATTTCTGTTTGTCATTGTAAATTTTTATAAAAAGTCATTTGAAAGCTAGCAATTAAATTTTTTCATTTTTAATGCAATTTTTTTTTTAAGAAATGTATTCACTTTAGGAAGAGAGTTATTGATTACGGACAACGAAACTTATTGAGGAAAAGCATTTTTCTTATTTTGAGTTAAATTAGTATTTTACTTTTATGAAGAAAAAAACTTTAGAAATACATTTAAATTTTTTAAATGGAATTCGTATAAAAACAAGATAGACATGAACATACAAAACACTAAAAGAAAACGATTTGTTAGGAAGTTGCTTTAGTTTTTAGTTGTTATTAATGTTGTGTGTGTGTGTGTGTTTTATAATATAATACATAGTATTAAAAATACTTCTTGGTTTTGAAAAGCTAACGCAATGTTGAAATCCTTACATACCAATCTTTTAAAAGTTAGCTGAAATATTTTTTTGTAAAAAGCGCATTGTCTCTATAATTCAATCTGAAAGAAAAGAAAAAGTAAAAAATTATACACTCTATAACAAAAAAATCGACGCACCAAGAAGGAGTGGTCCGATTGAAACAAAAATTGGTGGATAGGAAGACAATGTACAGAATAGTAAATGATTAAAATTTCAGAACAATTGAATAATTTATTGCAGAGTTACAGTAACAAGTTCAATAAGGTGTTGACCTGTCTCTAGCCTGGATACAAGCTGCCACACGGCGTGGCATACACCGATAAAGCTCCCGGATGGTCTCTTGCGGTATTTCCTGCCCTAATTCGATCCAATTGTCGAACGAGGTTATCAACATTCCGTGGCAGATGCAATCGCCTTCCCATCATATTCCAGACATGCTCGATGGAAGAGAGATCTGGTGATCTGGCAGGCCAAGGAAGAGTTTGACAAGCTTGCAGACAGTTCATAGCAACACGTGCCGTATGTGGTCTGGCAATTGTCCTGCTGAAAAACCAGTCCAGGGCGCTGCAAAAGGAACGGTAGCAAAACAGGTCTTTGGATGTCGTCGACGTACCATTGTGCAGTAAGTGTACCTCTAATGACGACCAAAGGGGTCCGGCTGTCAAAGGAAATGGCACCCCAGATCATAATGCCTTGTTGAGGGCCGGTGTGGCGTGCAATAGTGAAAGCAGGATCCCCCCTCTGCCCTTTGCGTCTCCAAACAACGTCTTCGATGATCGTTAGGACACAGTTGGAAGCGGGATTCCTCGCTAAAGACTAGACGTCCCCAGTCGGCATCATTCCAGCCTGATCGAGCCATGCACCACTGTAATCTGAAATTTCTAAGCAATCGGATGATTGCTTCTTGGTGTGTCGATTTTTTTGTTATAGAGTATATTTGAAAAAACTGCTTCTTGTTGTAGTTAGTAACAATTATTTAAACTACCATGCAAATATTGAAATCACACGCTAGTGCAGGAAATACTACGTGCTGTTAGAAATCTTCGCGTTAGGAATTTAAAAAAAATTGAATTAAAATTAGTTTTCTTAAAAACACGTTTTTTTCATAATTTAATTTCAAGAGAATGAAAATTTGTTATTAGATATTAGACGATTTAGATTATTAAAGACTAAAATATTTTTACGTTTATTGCCTGCGAATAGAACAGAATTTTAATTAAGAATATAAAAATAAAAATAAAGGATATGGACTTTTTTTGGAAATTGGAAATAGGTTAAGTAAATATTGGTTTTCCTTATAAACATGCCTTTTCCATAATTTAATAGAAAACTAAAGAATAATTTATTCTTAGAGACTTGAATTGTTAAATTATTAAAGACTAAAAGATTTTTAGGGAAATGATTGGTTATTTACGAATGCAGTAGAATTTCAATTAAAAATACAAAAATAAGAATAAAAGAACTGAAATTTAAGAATTACTTTTGGTAATAACTTGAAATAGATTTCGTTAAAACTATTTTTCGTTTAAAACATTATTTTTCTTCAATATAATCTACAACTGAAGGAAAACTTCTTATTAGATATTGGAAGATTATAAGATTTTTAGAGATTAAAAAAATTTTTGGAAATTTATTATTTACTTGCGAATAAAGCAGAATTTTAATTGTGATTTACTGGAATTGAATTAAAAGAACAGGTTAATTTTGGAAATTTGAAATAGATTTAGTTAAAGTTAGTTTTCGATAAAAAAAATTTATTTTTCAATTTAATAGACAGCGAAATGACAAATAATTATTAGAAACTAATATATTTAGATAATAAGGGGTTAAAATATCTCTGAGTAAATTGTTGTTTCTAACGAATAAAAAAGAATTTGAAATAATTTTTAATGAAGATTACATAGATAGAAAAAAAAAGAACAGAAATTTACGAATTGCTTTTAGAAATTTGAAATAGATTATAACTAATTTTTTCTAAATATTTCTTAATAAAAACAATAGTTAAACAAAAAAGCAAAAAGTTAAATAAAAACAAAAAGTTAAATAAAAAGGAAAAAAATATTTGCATGTATTGGTTTTTGCAGGGGTTATCGGTATTGATTTAAATCATAGATTCAAAATTTGTATACGGCAATCCGTAGGAATTAAATAGCATTACCTCTGACCAGTAGGGTAAGTAAGCCATCATATGAATATATGAACTGAAATTAAAATTTACTCTCTTAAATTCTTTTCAGATTCATAATTAAAATTTCCCCTTGTTTTAATATACTTTTTTAATGGAAAAATATCTTTTTCTAATTTTAATTTTTAATAATTTTTAATTTTTTTACTGCTTAGATTGGTCCTGAAAAAGGAGTAATTCATTTAGCAACAGCTGCAATTCTCAATGCATTGTGGGATTTATGGGCAAGAAAGGAAGGAAAACCTTTGTGGAAATTACTAGCTGATATGGTATAGAATTTTTGTATGTTTAGATTATTGATTTTATTACATCAAGTTACTCTCGCCGTAGTTGCATTACTTATTTAAGTTTTTTTGCAATTCTGTTTTTATTTTAAATCCTAAATCTTGATCCCGGTAGCACAAATTCTCCTGCACAGCAGAGGGTGCTGCAGATTATTACAGCATCGCCAGATTACTTTTCATCTTAATTTTCTTCTTTTTTTAAAAAACAAACAAACAAACAAACAAACAAACAAACAAACAAACAAACAAACAAACAAGCAAACAACCAGACAGACAGACAGACAGACGAACAAACAAAGAACAAAAAGTAAAGACTTTTTTTTGTTATTTGGTTACAGGTTCAACTGTATAGTGATTTATTCGATTGTTTTAGTTTCATTGTTTAAAAATTAATTTAAATTTAAGGAACTTAAAAAGTTTTTATGTATAAGGACTTTACATTCGCAAATTTTGCAACATTCATATTTGATTAAGCTGAATTTTTACAACCTAATATCTGTTCCCTGATTGCGTTGAGGTCTGAGATAAAGTTGGATTCATAAAATTAGAGCTGCAGATGTAAATTCTGATTCCGGGCTCTTGATTTTACGCGAGTGACTGTAATTATTCTATCTTCTATCAAATACGAGCATTTATAGTCAATCACGAAAAGTTGGGTTTGAAGTTTAAACTTGTTTTGAGATAAGTTTGTTATGATATTTGTATCGCGAATACTCTGTTAAAAATTCAGGATCAACTGACGGTAAGAAGTATCGACACTCAGGGTGCCATAAAATCCATTTTCCTTACAATCTTTAACTTACCATAAAATTAATTTTTACTGGAACATGTTACGGAACAGAAAACCTGATAATACTGTAATTTTATTTTTATAATAATAATTACAGTAGAAAGAATTGCATTATAAATTATATTTTAAGGTAAAATGGATGTTTTGGATGATGTACCCAAACTGCCGGCATTTTTTCCCGTTATTTGATCCGGAATTTTTTAAATAAGAAAATTTTTTGTATAAGAATATAAAAAATAGACTACCGTTTTCAAGTTGGCATTTTTGCATGCTTGCTTTTCTATACGCTTGCAATAAATTAAAGATTTTAAGGGATCACAATGATAATCGTCATTTTAAAAAAGACTTAAATTTTTTAATTAAGAACATGCTATTGTCGGTTGTTAAGAACATATCTTTGACGATTGTCTGTACGATTTTATAGGAAACGGTTTTAAATAAAATTTTTTTTTTCTTCTGAATACACTATAAAAAATCCCGGATCAAGTTACGGTAAAAGTATCTGTACTCGAGGTGCTGGTACTTTTTACAGTAAAATCCTTATTTTAACGGAGCACAAGACTGAACAAAAAAAATTTAACACTGCTATTTTTACAGTAATGATTACCGTAAAATCACTGAATCTACTTTAATTACATAAATATTGTTGTATAATAACGCTATAATATTTCACGGTAAAAGTGGATTTTACGGTAAATCTGATTTTACGGATAATGTACCCAAAGTGCCAGTACTTCATACCTTAATTTGATTCGGAAATTTTTACAATATAATTTCTTGATGTTGCGGGACATTTAGATATTCTAAAGCTTGCTTTCTTATATCCACTAAGATGCCGCTACTGTGTTCTTCTAATAAACTGTGCTAATAATAAACTTTTTAATTTACAATAAACAATTTAAATCTCTTTCAACTTAATTCTATCTATAAAGAACTATTTTAAATAATGCAACTGTATGAAATATTTAGTTTAAACCACACTGTTAGAAATTCCTCTGAATAAATGGTTAAATAACTATTTATTTAATTGTTATTTTACTATATTCAAACAAAACAGTAAAATAACTATAAATAAGATGGTATTCAAACAGTTTACTGTTAGAAAAACCGCTTATTACCTAATTTCACATAATACGGTTAAATAGCCGGTTAAATAAGCCAACTGCGCTCACTTAATGAATTCACTTCGTTCCTTGGCATCACAATATTTCCTCTCTTCTTTCAACACATGAAGAGTTTTCAGTGTCCTGCACTCCTGAATTTGTGACCCTGGACTATTAGAATACGATAATTTCATTCATGCAAAGATATCAGTACCAAAAACTTTCTAAACACAAATTGTCAAGTATTTCTTATCTCTTACGATAGGTGAAACATCCAGATAATTGATAAAAAAACATTCCGATGTTCATTTGGTAAAACACAACTCATCCGCAACCTACCTCTAATGCACATTACCTAACGAAAAGCCAAGCTCCAATATCTAGTTAAATTTACTTTTTATGAGCTTGAAAGCATGCTAGACGTAAATGGTTAAAAAAGGAATATTTTTGTTTTCATTGTCTTTTCACCATATTAGTTGTAAACGATAACTAATTAGTTTAAACGATCCGGAAAGGTGAAAAAATTTTTGTACCGTAAACTTTACAGCTAATTGTGGACATACCTTTACCGGTTATTTTACCGTAATTTTTGAATGAAAATTCTAACAGTGTATGTGTTCTGATAGTTTAAATAAAATTTAAAATGTTTTATAGTAGTTAAAGAACTTTATATTTTAACATTTAAACTAAAGGAGCCTTGGAATTATGTTAAAGATTACTTTATTCAAAGAAATTGCTCATTCTTCAATGCGATGTTCATTGCAACATTTTTTTTTTAGGAGCCAGAAAAACTCGTCTCTACCATAGATTTTCGTTACATGTTAGTGCTAAGTATTAAAATATAATTTTGGTCAATAACTTCATCATTAACTTCCACTTCAAACTTTCTAAACTTATATATTTCTTTTAGTACTGACGTGATTACAAAAGAGGAAGCTGTAAGTGAGTATATTAAAGATTTATTTTCATGTTTACTTATTTAAGTAATGGCGGTTGTCAGAAAAAAAAATTGTAGATTGTTTTCGACCTTGTGTTTCAACTCGAGCTGGGAAACTTTTTTTGCGAAATTATTATTTTCCAAAGTCTTATTAATTAACATTTTCGAGTGACTCCAATAGAAAAAAAAACTACTCCATGTTAAAAGTTTTAAAAAATCATAATTTTTTTTTTTTTTACCAAAATAAGATATTTTACCTATACCGTTTAATAACAATAAGGGATATTTTAAATTTACCTTTAATAAGGTACACGGTAAATGTAAATGTTAGTAATATAAAATATTTTGCATTTACATTTTCAATAATGTGTTTACTTCTCGTAATGTAATAATGTAATTTAATTAAATAAGAAATTAAGAAATGAAATATTCTTAAAAATTAATTAATAATGATCATCATTATTTTTGACAACCTCAAATAAATTACAGAAACAAATAGTTAAGGTTTCTTATCAAAATTAATGAATAATAATAGTAATGATGATGATGATGATAAGGAGTATAATAATAATAATTATAATAACATTAATCATAATAATAAATATTATAATAACGATTACAATAGTGATTAAAATGATAATTATCATAATAATCATTATAATAAAAATGATTATGTAAACGAAGACTATAATAATAATAATTACGATAATTATTATAGTAATAATAATCATTATAATAAAATAATCATAATAATAAATATTATAATAATGATTATGATAATTAATATAGTATAATAATGATAATGTAGTAATAATATAAAGAATTATTTCTAGAATGAAATTATTTTAACCCAAAATCAATAAAAGTATTTATATAAATTCAAATTTATAGATTCTAAAATTCTAAATGCTTAACTGGGTTTTAAGATATGTTATGCATTTTAGCTTTTGAGATTGATCAAATATGCAACATATGCGATTGTATGATTTTTTTATTAACAATATTATATAAATAAGTTATTATTACTGTTTAAAATATTTAAAAAGGGAATTCAATATCCTTGGTGAAGCTGAATAGTGCGGGTCTTATACTTGGTATATTATTTCAGAACAGTTCACTACATTAAACCTAGAAGGTTAAATGCGTTTTAACTTTATAAACTTTGCTACTGAAAATGTAATTCCTTAAAGATTTGTCGAAGTAGTTACGAATAGTTATTCCCCGTTCTTTTTTGTCAAATAGGAATTATGAAAACTTTTTTACGACTTAATAAACTGAAATAAAATTTGAAAGACGAAATATCATTTGAAAATTCTATTTCTTCTTTATCATTCACAATTAAATATGAACAAAAAAAATAATGAAGTTTTGCGAACAATTTTATTTAAGAAATAAAGCTCCAAGGCATTTTGTACATCATTTAAAAAAAATCTTTATGATGTTATTAAGCTAATAAGATTTTATGTTCCAGAAATTTATTATGCTATGATAAAACTTTTGCATCGTTTTATGTTAGAGAAATTCCATAAAACTGTAGTTATTTTTTGTACGGAAATACTTAAGTTTATTAAAAAAAAAAACCCTAACTTTTGGAGCGTCTTCCTGAACTATTTTACTGTCTAGAAGATTAGAGTTCGAATCTAGATGATTTTAGCCATTTGTTTTTATTTTTCTTAAATTGCATCAGCATTTATTCACGATATTTTTTATTTTGTAGAATATTTAAAAAGCAAAGAAAATGGAAAAAAGGAAAGAGGTATAAAATAGACATTTTCTTCAATGAGTTGTACAAGTTATGAATCTATTATAAATAGTTATTATGTATGCAACTATTATCTGTAGTTATTATGTATGCAGCTATTATATATAGTTATTTATTATGTATGTAGTTGTAATATATATAGCTGTTATACATGACATGCAACCCCTTTTATTTACATAGTTTTTTCATAATATTTATACAGAATAAGTAATCTTAATGTTATATGGCAAAGAACTTAAGCCCTATTATAATTGATATCAACATTGTGGTATTAGATAATAAATAAAAATAATAATAATTTGGTAGATAATTCAATTCAGAAAAACTTTCGAACTCTTGAAATAACGGTTCAACGTTGAATCGTAATATTGGTACCCGAACCATACTTTTTTTACAACTTTAAAATTAGTATGGTTTTAAACTAAGCCTTGATTCAGTTCTGGTTGAAAAACTATCGAGTAATTGAAATTCATGAAGGATTATGGATCATGTATAATTCAACTTACCACTTTAGTTACTGTACAACTTTAAATAATATTGTGGTTCAAAACAGTTCAAATGTTTTATCGGAAAACTGAATTATTCTTTTTGAGCGGAATTATTATTTGTGCGGAATAATTATTCGAAGCGGAGTTCTTCATTTTGCGCAAAAATAATAAAATTGCTAATATTATGATATCGTTTGCGTTTGTATGATGTTATGCGCCAAACTTTTTTTCTTCATACTAGATAAATACAATTATTTAATTTTATTACCTGACGTGACTATATAATAAAATGAATATAGTAAAATACATGCTAATTGTTAATTTTTGTTACAATTGAAGAGATTCAGGAATGCAATTACTAGCCACATTTCAAAATTGTTCAGGAGTGCATTTTTGGTAAAATTCTGAAATGTTGTAAAATAACTAGATAAAGAAAATATTAAGGAAAATTTTGATAAAAAAATATGGCTTCAGATTATATTGCCTAAAACCTTCCAGTTTTAATAATTTTAAATAATCTTTTGCGTCTTCATGTTATATTATAAGAGGTGCAGATCAATTTGGAATGAAATTTAAATATTCACTAGGCTGCTAAATCCTCAAAGAATTACTCTGTTTGAAGAAATTGAACTGTTTACAAGAAAATTTGTTCCATTACACCGTTTAATGTTCCTTTACACTACTTTTTTTATTTTTTCATCACACTTTTTAATTTTGTTTCTTGACACTTTTTCTTTTGTACAAAGCTCTGTTACGTTTGGCCATTATCTATCTGATGTAAACATTGGTTGTTTTAGAGTTTCAAAAACGTCAAACATTAAGATTCAGAATCATTATTGGATACTTACAAACAAGTTATGTCACGCGTGGGTGCTGAATCATGGCATTTGTCTATGCCATGAATTAGTCAGTTTTGACGCACATTAGAGACATCGCTTACAGATATCGACTTAAATCTGAACTGAAACTTGATTTTGATTGATAATAAAATAAGCCTAATAGCTGTAACGTTAACATGCCACACACAATTCTGTGATTAGACACAACTATGGGATTTCAGCGGTATTCTTCTTCTCGAGTTGAAAATACCTATTTATTTGAAGTATGACATAAAGCACATTATAAAATCAAATGAAAGAAAATAATAAAGAGATAAGTTTGATTTTAGGAGTTAAGGATTTTAATTGCTCTAAATTGAATCTTTATTATTATTTATTGATTACTAGGTTTAATTTAATTTAGTAATATTACATGTAATATTACATTTTTTTTTGTAGAAAATGAAATTTTAAAAAATGGGTTTCCAGCATATTGTACTAGCGCAGGATGGCTTGGTTACAATGATGAAAAAGTTAGAAAAGTTAGTATTTGAAAATGTTTTGTTTTTGAATTTCTGTTATATCAGGATTTGTAATTTTGGTCTTATACAAATGAAGCGAACATTTTAATTTTTTTTTTAAAATTATTTTTTAGATTTTTCTGATATTCATAGTTTTACATATCGCAAGATTTTAACTCCTAACTATTACTGTAAAAAATACGGTTTATCAGATTTTTTGCCCCGTAATATGTTCCCATTAAAATAATAAATTTTTTTTCGGAATGTTTTACAATGCAGATAAATAATGGAATTTAACATATGACTGTAAAGATTACTTTAAAAACTCGCTTATACTACACGTTTATCATTTAGTTAAACTGTTATCTTTTTGTCTAACTTATCAAATTGATTAAAACTGACTTTCATTCATTGAATATTGAATTACAGTGCAACAAAACTTCTTTCTCAAGTCAAAATAATGAAATCTTTTAAATCTTAACAGATATGAAATAATAGTAACAAAAATGAGTTAAATCCTGATAACGTCGAATTCAATTTAATCCTTACAAAAAAGAGTACTTTTTATTAAATATTATGCATTATATTTATTCCATGTTAAAGGAATAGAAGCTCTCATTTCAAAAGATGAGGATAAAAATAAAGCACTAAATATTCTTAAAAATATAGAGAATTAGAATATTTATCAATTTCTGATTAAATTTTCACTGATTAAATTGTATTGTAAGAAAATTGTTAAGAATGTTAAGAAATTATTTTATGACAATGCTTTTAATGTTTTAAAGCACGAGCTTGATAATTATTGTACTTTTATGAAAATGTAATTTTTATACAATTTCTATATTATAACATTGGATATGAATGGTTTTAAAATAATACAAAGTAAAAAATGCTAAGCGAGTGAAGCATTCCCACAACATTTCGTAGTGGGCTATGGGGATCCTAGAGGTTACGAATCCTCAATTTTGTGACCAATGGCGTGATGTTGGCAATAAATCCAGTCCATCACGAGGACAACCTAGTGTTTTAACTATTGAGCCATTGTAGATAAGTTATGAGTATATGATAAAAAAAATATGGATATTAAATAATTTTTTTAAGAATGTTGGAAAAAAATTAGACACCTGCTTTTTAACTTGAATATTTACGAAAAATGTGACTAACTTTACTTAAAAAAATAACTCTGACAAATATAATACACCAATTTGAATGTAATCATATTGAAGAATTTTTTTTAATTGTAATAAAAATTACAGAATATAATCATTTTGGAGAAAAAACATTTTTCCTTCAAAGCAACGGACAAAAAAAAAAGAGCGATCTGTAAATCATCAAAACTTGTTTTTTATTTGCTTTAATGACTTTTCCAGTTTTGCGGATGTTTTGTTCATTATGTTTATTTTTCAGAGATTTCAGAATAAATATTTAACATTTTAAAATTTAATAAATTAATAGAATTGAATTTTGCAGTTATGCAGGCAAAAACTGGAGGAGGGTTTTACAGCGTGAGTATGATTTCATTTTGTTCAGTAGAATGTACATTGAAAAAATTTCCGGATCAAATTATGGTAAAAAGTACCGGCATCTTTTACATTAAAATCTATTTTTACCTGAACATGTTACGGAACCAAAAAAACACGATATACGGTAAGTTTTACAGTAATAATTACAAGAAAAATTGCTAAATCACTTTAATTAAACAAAAATTACGGTATAATATTCTACGATAAAATGGATTTTACGGATGACGCACTCAAAGTTCTGATATTTTATACCGTAATTGATCAGGAATTTTTTTTACCGTATAGTTATTGTTTATTCATTTTTTTCTTAAAAGAAAAGGAAATATTATTTACATGTTATTTGCTTATTTATTCATTTCTTGTTTGTCTTTTTACTGACATATATTTTCATGTATATTAGACTCAATTTATGATTTAACCGCAAAAATATTTCGTTTTTAAAAAACAAGCACCTTTTTAGGAATATTTTTGCCCTAGTTCTTACAAATGCTTGTTATTCTGTATAATTTTTACACGTTAACTCCAGTACTGTACTTAGAAATGCATTTAGCTCACCTTAATACCAAAAATGGTGTCAACTATTTCTTGATTTTTTTACAGTGCATATATAAGTAAGAGGCTCATTGAATATATTAAGCCGTAAATAATTCTAGATTTATAATATTAAGCCGTAAATAATTCTAGATTTAATTAAGCCGTAAATAATTCTAGATTTTTTATTTAAAAAGTAAGAGATTTTTTTGAGTGAGAAGAAATACTTTTTTCTAGGGGGGAAGAGGAGGAGGAATTTATTAAAAATTAAGGCTATTTGTTATCTATGCTTTCAAATATTTTATTGAAATTCGTTAGTTTAATGTTCGTTTTATAATTTCAGTAATAAAAAATAAATTAAAATATAATACCGAATTTAGTTTTAAGTAATTTATCTACGAACGAGAAAAATGTAATGATTAAATAATTTATGAGGAATTTTTTAGCAGGTTCTTCATTTTGTTAAAAAATCTAGAAAAATAAGTTTCAGATATCACGACAGATACCTGCTAACTTTTACGATGGTAAACTCCCCCCCTTTTAACTTTGCAGGATTTACTAAAAAATTAGTAAATAATCAAAAATAAAATTAATAGCAGAAAATAAAATTTTAAGTGAAACAAAAATTTATTTAAAATAACTTTAAAGCGTGGCGTTTTAAGTACATACTTATAAATTTTTTTAAAAATTCTAATACGAAAATTTCACATGCACAAACTCACAAACTTTAAGAAATGAGTGTTCCTTAAAAAATGACATGTTTATTAATTTATTGCCAGTAGTGTAGGCTAACTATCTTTATATTTACTGTTTTAATTTGTTGGAAAACATTGTAACGCATAGAAATGTTTCTTAAATGTTATATATTTTTAAAAAATAATGCATTAACACTATGCGTCGCAAAATGCTACATTTAAAACTACTTAGTTGTTGCTTCAAAAAAAAAATGATAATAAAAATACCTTTAATAAGCAATACATTAACAAATACGAAAAACAAACAATACAAAACAATATAACAATAATAAACGGCACACATTAAATGTACAAGTCATTGTAAACACCCGAAGTTAGGTAAATCTAAGGTTTTACTAGTAAAACCTAAGTTTTACCAATGTGGATTGGTAAGTCCGAAGTATGCTTTAATATGATTCCACTTCGTATTTTTATCATTTCTTTGAGGTAAAACGCGAGATTTACTAAAGCTTTCGGTAAAGACCTTGAACGAGGGATTAATTATGATAGAATTTTACAGTAGCAGAAATATTGAATACTGATCCAATACCCTTCACCTCAACGGTCAGTATAGGGAATACCGGGAGCAGTGGTACTTACCTTAAAAAACATCAGTGTAGCGTATATCGAGAAAATGTATATGGGGCAGTAGCACTTCCCTAAAAAAACAAACAAATAACATCAATGTAGAGTATACTGGGCAATGCCACTCACATTTCTTATCAGATTGTTAGAAATATCAGAATTTTAAAATCAGATTATTAAAAATAACTACCGGTGATTATCAATGATTGATTATTAAGTTTGGTTTGGCAAAAAAAATTAACCCTTGCCAACGGTCTCCTTTAACAGAAAAATACCATATATTGTATACAGCGTTTCAAAAAGGTTAAAACACACTTTCGATTGAATATATATATATATATAT